AATTTGATTATCAAATAGCCGTGGAATACACAACAAATACAGAACAAATATTAAATATAATGAAAGATGAATTAATGCCAGGAACGTCCACATCACATGTGAACATATTTTAATCACAGAAACTATTACAGATTGGGAGGGATCCATCACAAATTTTTTATATCTTCAGCCTGTGTTGTTGAGTGAGCTCAGACAAAATTTCGGGAACTGAATTTGAAAACATTATCTTAAAAATTCTTGATACAAAGTAATTTAAAAATGGAAAAATTAAATGAGAAATTAATTGACGTGGAAAGTTATAACGAAAAATTAGAAAATTGGAGAAATGCTTTTCAAATGAAATATTTTTGGATAAACAAGAAGCTTTTAAAAAATCTTTTCTGACAGCAATAGGCTCAGAGAATTATAAGACACGATGAATTCTCATTCCAACATTTGAAGGATAAATAGAAAGAAGCCAAAACAAAAATTGAATAAATGTTAGAGAAATTAGAGATAAATTCTTATTATATATTGTATTATTATGTTAATTTATCCATTGACTTTTGATTGATCATTTACAAATGAAAAATACGAAATTAATTGAATACGAAGAAGTAATCTTGTCTGAAGTAATTTTTTCGGATGAGATTTCAAACGTAACTATTTTTTATTTGTGTTTTATAATGTAATTAAAAAAAATTTTTTTTATTAATATTTTCTTTTTTTATTTTTTTTAAAAAAAACCATTAAATTAAATCATTAATGTAAACAAAAAGTTGATTCTTTTTATGATATGAAAAGTGTCACGTTGGAATCTCTTGGAATAATTAGATATTATTGTCATCGAATGCTCATTTGGAAAAACTGTGACTGGAGATGTAAAGACGTTAGGTAAATGTAGGATGCCATACAAGACCTTGCTGTAAGTAAAACAGAAGAGAGAGGGCTAGAAAACCAGAATAAGAAAACTGGACAGGCATAAAGCTCATCAAAAATGGGGTGCGACCGAAATGTCTCTACTTGTTGAAGGACTTTATAAGGTTTGTGTGAAACATTTTTTTTCTTTTTTTTTTATTTTTATAAAAATTTGGTTCATTTATCATGTTTCATCATACCTGTTGAATTGTTTAGCACGGCGTTGGTAATTTTTAACCGATCCAAAATACCCTTTCCCCAGGGATCGAACAGTCGTTGATCTCAAAGACAAAATTATTGGTTATCACGTGATCAGATATTAAAAAATATCAGGGGAATCATCATAAACAAGCATTATTTAGACAGAAATTATTTTTGCTGTAAAAAAAAAAAATAAAAATAAAAAATTTTTAAATATACTTTCTTAAAAGTTAAAATTAATATTTTAATCACGTGTGTAATAAAGTTAATTTTAATAAAGAGAACTTTGGTCGTGTAATAATATCTCAGAGGTTGATTTTGCTGGTAACAAATAAAATAAATGTCATATAAAATTTTGTTGTGTAATAATATCTCAGAGGTTGATTTTGCTGATAACGGATAAAATAAATGCCGTATAATATTTTGCTGTGTAACAATATCTCAGAGGTTGATTTTGCTGGCAACGGATAAAATAAATGCCATATAAAATTTGGTTAAATAACAATATCTTGAAGGTTGATTTTTTATAAAAAAAATTAAAAGAATAAAACAAGATATCAAATAAGATACTAACAAGAAATCAATAAGAAATCAAACAAGTCAATTTTAAAAATAGTAGCAAATTTAATCATCAATAATTGGTTTAAAAATCAGGGGTAAATTTTGATTGCTTTTTTATCAAAAATTATAAAATTATCTCGAACCTTGATTTTGCTAGTAATGAACCTATATAACTTTTGATTTAAATTTTATACACTACTTTCTGAAATATTAATTCAAGCTAAATTTTCTATCAATACTAATTTTCAGTTATTAGTTCATAAGATAACAATATATATATTTTTTTTATTAAAATTTTAATAAAATAACATCAAAAATAACTACAGTCAACTTTCTATAAATGCATTCTCTATAAATGCACACCCTCTATAATTGCATTCTTTAGCCCAGTCCCTAGTTCGAGATATAATGCTAAATGCACATCCTCTCTATTCGCACTATGCAATAATTTTCTGATTCAGCCTATATTAAAGTATATTATCTAAATGCATACACGTGACATTCACGTAACTTCGCAATAATAAAACGTCTGATTGATATTTGTCTTACAAATAAAAAGCCACATTTTTTTTTTCTTTCATACTCCAATTTCTTTGATGAATGTGTCATTGTATCATTGTATTCTTGTATTCACCTTCCTTTACCCTTCCCATATTTTAGCTGTATATTTTAGCTGTTAGGTTTTAAATAAAGTTTAATAAATATGAGTTTAAAAAAACTTATTTT